GGGTGGGGCGGGAGGGAACATCCTGTCTGCGCCGTGCACCGCAGACAGCGTCGCGCGCCAGCCGCCCAGACGGCGCGCGGGGCCCGGAGCGCGCGCGTGGGGGAGGGGCGCGCGAGAGGCCACAGGTCGGGGCAGCCCTGAGGAGCCACAATAGGCCAGACGGCGCGCGCGCTTCCGAGGCGACTGGCAGCCGTGAGGTGGCGGCGGCGACGCGGGCGCGCGCGGGGCCGGCCCTGCTGGCTCGGATCCCCTCCCCTCCTACTCCCCGCCGCCCTCGCTCTCCCCCGGGCGGCCGGAGACGGCGGCGGCGTCTGCGGGAAGCCGTGTGTCTCCGCAGTGACGTGGGCGGGCCGAGGGCTCGGTGACGTCAGAAGCTGTGTGTAGCGATGTGTGTGGGGTTCGGAGAGGCGCCGGCACAGCCAAAGGGAGCGGGCGAGCGGCGGCGACGGCAGCGGGCACAGGTGCGGCCCCGGCTCGAGGGGGGACTCGGCGGGAGGCGAGGGTTGCATGGCCCCCGGGGAGCCCGGCGTCCGCGACGCGAGCGGTGGGGAGTTCACCGAGCCGGTGGAGTGTTCCCGGGCGCGGAGGCCAGAGTAGGGGGTCTGGATGCGCGGGTCCCGGGTGGGCTGGGGGCCGGGGCGGCGCGCCGGGCGGGTGTCCCATGGAGGATCGCTCCTCGCTGACCGCGGGTGGTGCCCTCGGGCTGCAGAGACGCTGCACTTGACCCGAGCCGCCGGGACCCCGAGACCCAAACGCCCGTCTCCGCCCCCGCCCCCGCCTGTCTGCGCTCGCCAGGGATGCCCTGGGCTGGACCCTGGCGGCGGGCGCCGGGCGGCGCGGGGTTCCGGAGTGGAGCCCGCTCACCAGCGGTCCCCACTGGGGTCGCGCTCGAACGGGCGGGTGGGGGGAGGTGCAGCCCTCGGGGCGCGGAGGTAACACCCGAGAACTTCCCGGGGAGAGCGCGCGCGGGGTTTTCCACCGCCTCCTCGCGGCCCCCGCAGTGGGGCGGTGTTGGAGGGCGCTTGGGGTTCTCCCAGGCTCCGGGTGGTGGCTGAGGGACTCCTCTCTCCAGTTCCCTCCACTCTCACACCCCCCGGACGTTCCGGGTCCCCAGGTTCCCTGACTTCACCCCGTAAGGTTAGAAATGGGTGGGTGGCTTTGCGTGGGTAGAGCGCTTCAGGGTTTGGGGGCTCCCCCATTCTAGGTCGTGCCTCTTGCCCTCTTCCTTACCCTGCGTGGGCTGAAGTGTCCCTGTGGTGGTGAAAGTCTGTATGATGGCTGATGGCCTTCGTTCTTAATCCTTTAGGTTTGTTTTAAAGTAAATTGTTGGGAGTTTGCAAAGCAAAAAAATTCTATTTATTGGATTTCATTTTTTTTTTTTCTGAAGAAGGAAGTGAAAGAAGTATCTTTTCTTTTTTTCTTTTCCTCCATTTGCATTCTTTGTGAGAGGGTTTGTCTGCCTTGTGCTTTTTGTCCCGGATGAATCTTGTTCAAGGATGGAGATTCCTAGACATGGAAGCTTACAGCTTTTGGTTTCCTTTAAGCAAATTCGCTAATCCTTTTAAAGGGAAATTTAATTTTTTTTTTAACCTACATTCATTCCAGAAAAATAGCATACGTTTGCTAGACGAATTAATATGCTCTTCAGATTGTAACTTAGTTGCATATGGTGGTTATATTAAAATTTTTTTGGGGGGGGTGGCGAAACCAGACTCCCTTTTTTAGTTTTTTATTAAAGACAGGGTCTCACCGTATAGGTTAGGCTAGCCTTGAGCTCACTAGGTAGCCCAGGCTGGCTGGAATTTAGGGCAATCCTCCTGCCTCAGCCTCCTGTGTTCTGGGATTATACAGGTTTACACCACCACACCTGGCCCTTCCTTTTTAAAAATTAGGAGATGAAATACAGTAATGAATTATTTTTTTAGTTTAAATGGCACAACAGAAATTCTCTTGTACTAAGTTTTATCTGAGTGTTCTGTTTAAGGTTGTTCATACTCTGAATTTGAGTAGCCTTCCCCCTTTTGAGGGATGTTTTTGCTTTGTTTACCCACCTTCTGAATTGCTTTCCTGTTTAAATGAAGGTTCTTGTGATTATCTGGTGCTAGTTTTAAAGAAATCACTCAAGTGTCACCTTTGGTAAAGTGTACTCAGTTTAAGATTAAGAAACTGGTTTCAAACTGACCCTTTGGCCTCTGGAGCAAATTCACATGTAACTCCCCCATCCCCCTTCTCTTACAGATCCATTAAAAGAAGAATGAACTGTAATCCTTAAAGATAACCAAGCAATTTTTCCTTAAGTATAATTTTTGATAATAAAAGTCCAAGTGGAGTCAGAGGCACTTCTTAACCGGTGTGGAGATTTGTACGAGACTTCAGTTTGTCAACAGAGACCAACAGACAGACAGCTTTTAGAGGACACATTCCCCCTGTTTTTTTTTTCTTAACTGTTCTTGGTGGCAAAAATCAAATTTGGTTGCATCATTTTGACTTGCATTTCAGTCTAGGTTTTATGGCACAGTAATGGCATAAACTTTACACATGCTTTATTTTAAAACAAAGCAACCATAACAAACCATTGCATTGAACCTGGACACCTCAAAAGGAGAACTTGATAGCTTTGTTTTACATATACCTGAAGAACTCCAGAAAACAAAAGCTTCCTTAGAAGTGTACCTTTTTGTTTTTAGAAGCAAAATGAGAAATTTTATAGCATTTGCAGGAAATTACACTAGGATGTAAGCGCCAAAACAAGGTTGCAAAATCTGTTGAGTTAGATTTCTCTTTGGAGATTAAGATTTTCTATGAGTAAGTTATAAATATTTGTATACATTATTCTCTCTTCAAAGAAGCAACTAAATAAAAATGCAAATCTCAGACTTCATTATTTAAATAGTGTAGCAATGGAAAACCTTCAGACAAATTTCTCCTTGGCCCAGAGCTCAAATAAAACATTGAATGGGATGGGAGAGGATGGCAGCCCACCAGTGAAAAAAATGATGACAGAAATTCATGCAAATGGAAAAACGATTAATAAGATGCCAACGGTAAAGAAGGAACATTTGGATGATTATGGAGAAGCACCGATGGAAACTGATGGAGAACATGTTAAGCGAACCTGTACTTCTGTGCCTGAACTTTTAAATTTAAATCCCAGTTTGAAACACACATTGGCACAATTCCACTTAAGTAGTCAGAGCTCTCTGGGTGGACCAGCAGCATTTTCTGCTCGGTATTCCCAGGAAAGCATGTCACCCACTGTATTTCTGCCTCTTCCATCTCCTCAGGTTCTTCCTGGCCCACTGCTCATCCCTTCCGATAGCTCCACAGAGCTCACCCAGACTGTTTTGGAAGGGGAGTCTGTTTCTTGTTTTCAAGTTGGAGGAGAAAAGAGACTCTGTTTGCCCCAAGTCTTAAATTCTGTTCTCCGAGAATTTTCACTTCAGCAAATAAATACAGTGTGTGATGAATTATATATATATTGTTCAAGGTGTACGTCAGATCAGCTTCATATCTTAAAGGTCCTGGGAATACTACCGTTCAATGCTCCATCCTGTGGGCTGATTACATTAACTGACGCACAAAGACTTTGTAATGCTTTATTGCGGCCACGAACTTTTCTGCAAAATGGGAGCATACTTTCTGCTAAAAACTCATTGGCCCAGTTAAAGGAAACTGGCAGTGCCTTTGAAGTGGAACATGAATGCTTGGGCAAATGTCAGGGTCTATTTGCACCTCAGTTTTATGTGCAGCCTGATGCTCCATGTATTCAGTGTCTGGAGTGCTGTGGAATGTTTGCACCCCAGACATTTGTGATGCATTCTCACAGATCACCTGACAAAAGAACTTGCCACTGGGGCTTTGAATCAGCCAAATGGCATTGTTATCTTCACGTGAACCAAAAATACTTAGGGACACCTGAAGAAAAGAAACTGAAAATAATTTTAGAGGAAATGAAGGAGAAGTTTAACATGAGAAATGGAAAGAGAACTCAATCCAAGGCAAGTTTTTAAAATAGTTTTGAATGATAGTGGTTTACTTTGAAATCAAAATTCTGTATTTAGCATATTGTGTGTTTTTAAGAAACTTTTTGCTCCAACAACAAAAACCACTGGTCAAAGTTGTGTTTGTGTTCCAATTTTTAGGCTATGAAGTATTTTCTTGCATATTTTGCTTATTTGACTGTCCAACCTATGAGAGAAGGAAAATTCCCATTTTACAGATAAAGCAAATGAGGTCCAGAGAGATATGGCTTTCCCAAAAATTACATAGCCAAGGGCCCAGGATTTAGCTCAGTGGTTCTGCAGTCTGCCTTGCAAGCGCAAGGTCCCGAGTTCGATCCCCAATACCAAAAAAAAAATTATACAGCCAAAATTGGAGGAGTTTGGGCTTTATTTTGGCCTATTTTTTTCACACATTCTGCTTCTTGATGACTAAATGTTGTTTTCCTAGGACTCAAGATAATTTACACTTTGTTATTACATGGCGTTATCGCATTGGCAAATGATACAACGGCTAGCCTAAACAATTCTTGTGGTGGTCTTAAGAGCATTTTTTTAAGGCTACATCTATGACCTTGAGTTTCTACACGTGGATATTTAGGTTTGATTAGTGTTGGAAACAAGTACAAAAGATGTTTGAAGAATTTGTGATTCTAGAAAACATTTTTTTGGGAAAGGATTTTAAAAAATTACGGCAGCTAGAATGAAGTTTAGATTAGTAAAATATTAATATAGCAAGCTATCAGCAAAGAGATCTTAAGCTTACTATTTTTTCCACTGCATTATTCGGTAGGCTGAACTAATATCTTTGTTCTAATTAAGATTCTGAATGACTGCGTAATAGACAAGATTTGAATTTTTAAATAGTTTGAACTGATTAAGTATTTTCCTACTTGATTTAATTCATATATAACACTAAACGATAAGTGTTTGACATGTGTCAAGCATTGCTTTTGAGTAGTTTTTACATAATTTTATTTTTACAATAAAAAGTTGGTCATGTTTTAATAACTAAAATTTTTCTAATTTTGATTTCTTGAAATAGCTGTGTTCTATTTCACAGAAGAAATGTATGAAGCATATTAAATGACTTGCTGAAGGTTGTAAATAGCAAAGTTTGGGCTTGGACTGGAAGGTGTCAAGGCGCTTTCACATTTTGAGGGAAATTGAGTCAAGTGTAGTTTTAGGACAGAGGTTTGCTTCTGAAGCTCAGTAAAGATACCCTTAGAGTTTCATTGCTTGCTGCTCTCCAAAAGGTTCTTGAAATTTCTTTCCAGTGGCAACTAGATTTATATTCTTCAGCTTCACTTATTAATTGGTTTTAAAGCAGAATTAATTTCAAGCCAGCACTCAAAAGTGTAAAACGAGGCTTACAGTTGAATATGTGCAATGCTGACTTTTGTGCTCGAGGTCATCTATATTTCCAAAGTGGAATGCCCCTTTTGATATTTAGAATATCTTGGCTCCAAACTAATTAGGGGCCTGTGGCTTACATGTCTAGATAGTCACATAATTTGCCAGATATATTGCTTGAATCTTCGTTACTCTCACTTAAGCATTTTTGGGACAAATTACCTCGTTTGTCTTATGTTCCTCTAATGTGTGAAAATAAATCTAAGAACCTGGTATAGGGGTGTGCCTAACTGAAACTGTATGTACTAAGGTTTAGCTAAAGTTGAAACCATCCTTTATCTGGGATGTAGTCTCTTATTGTCCCAGAATTTATTAATTGGAATGGACTTTTAGGTATGGGAAGGTGTATTTTTTTTTTTTTCTCCTGACTCTTTTCTGCACTTCAAAATTTTTTTTTCATATTTGCATTGAGACTTTAAGAAAATTTCCAACAATTTAACCTTTAAGAAAATATCTTTTTGGCTCATGTTGTATAACACTTGAGTTTTTCTTTTTCTTTGTGCTTGCTACAGCATGTTTTAAAATTTACTCCTCGAAACACTACGAGGTAGCCCCCGCCCCCTGCAGTACTGGGGAATGAACCCAGAGCCATTGCACTGAGCTACGTATATTCCCAGCCATTTATTTATTTAGTTTTAAAATTTGAGACAGTGTGTAAATTGCACATTTGCCCAGGCTGGGCTCTTGCTTAGCATCACCTGCCTTAACCTCTCAGAGTGTGCAGCTGTGCCCAGAGTTAGGTAGTTTTTGAAGGTCTGTGATGAAAGTGAGTTAGAATATTTCCTCCTGTCAGATGAAAAATTAGTCCCAGATGGTTAACATGTTCCTGGTTGTATAATTGGTAGGTTATACCAATTGAGTTGGGAGTTGCAGGCAGGTTTTCTGAAGCCTAGTAATTTTGCATACTTTGTCTAAAAGTAGAAACTTCTTGATTCTGTATAAACCCGCATATATGTGTGCGTGTGTGTGTGTGTATAATGTATAATAATATATATTGTATATAATGTGTATATGAAGGTGTTTAACTGGAAGAGGGGAAGGGAAATAGTCCTTGGTCAGGGCAAATTTTTCATTATCATTGATGAGTCAGTGAGTTGTTTGCCAAACTAAATTGACCAGAGGACGGTCATTTTAAAAAGTCAAACCCGGCTTTCTTTTCCTTTTTTTAAAAAAAAGACTGCTAAGTTTATTAACCTGTTATGTAAAAGTCTTTATGTTTAGTGTGAATGTAATTTAATAAGCTTAACATAGTTTATATAGTCAAAGAATTACTTTTGGATTAAAAAAAACCCCTGAAACTCAGTAGACAATTGTTTGAAATGCAGCAATTTAATTATTGTAAAGGATGGAAATTATATTAGTAATAACCAATAAACTTATTTGCATAGCTAATAGCTACATTAATTTGCTTAGTTAAGTGCTATATTTAAATGTTAGAAATGAGTTGTATGAGTGAAGAATTGAATTCTTTGTAGAAACTAAAGTTATATTGTCAGCTCTTTCTTACTCGGATCATAAGAAAGATACTTGGTATTGGACCTGCTCTGAAGTATGGTATTATCAGATTATACCATATGAGTTTTCTGTGTTAATTAGAAAAATGGTTATTGTATTTTATAGGGTACACATATAAATAAAAATCATTCTTGTTCCTTTTTCATGTCAGTGGGCATTTCATCAAATTAGAATTAGATCAAATAAATTTCTGTGGGAAAAGGTTGCTAAGCAAATTGGTCATTTATAAATAAAATTTGAGGGGTAATGTTTATTTAAGATTATTTTCAAGGACACTAGAAGAGGCCATTTACAGTAAGTTGATAACAAAATTATACGTGGCTCTTCTCTGACAGAATATGGCTTACAATCTCCACTTTATTTAACGTTAATGGATAGATAGTATATACCATTAAAAATACATATAAAAAAAAGCTGGGGATTTAGCTCAGTGTTTGCGCTGCCTGCCTCACAAGTGCAAGGTCCTGAGTTCAAGCTCTGGTACCCTCCCCAAAAATAAATAAATATAATTAAAAAATATATATATATAATTAGATTCCTAAAATTCAGACTGGACTACTCATAGGTAAGTAAACTACTATACTTTTCATGAAATACCTAGGGTATACTCTGTATTTTATAGATTTTTCCCCTGGTTGGATGTATAGCTCAGTGGTAGAGCACATACATGTACTCTGGCCCTGGGTGCAGTCTTTAGGTCACAAAACGAACAAAAAATTTTCTCCTGAAAACATATTAGCCATTCATTACCTTTAGCTTCGCATTTTTATTTCCATTCATTTCTGTAGAGATCATTGGAATAATAATAGTACAAAATGTCTCCCCTTTGTAAGCTGTTGTACATTTATTTAGGAAATGTGCTTTTCAGTATTAACCTCAAGGGAAAAAGGAAATATACTAGAGAGAATGGGCAACTACCAAGAGTAATGATGGAACAAAATGTATTCTAGCATTAATTGTGGAATTCATGGTAGCTTGTTACATCTGGGGTAGTTTGTATTTTGTGAGTAGCAAAAATTTTGATCAAGTGAGTATAAAATCAGTCAGAAAGTTTTTGTGCAAAAACAAGAGACCACTGTCAATGCTGTCTAACTTTCTGGAATTAATAACTGTTTCCGTAAGTTTAGAGACAGAGACTGGTCTCCCCTGACTCCCAGCCTGGCATGTCAAAGGCACTCAATGTAATCTTTTTTTTTTTTTTTTAAAGAGGACTAAATGGTGTTTTAAAGTAGTTGGTTTTTAAAAAAAATAATGGTTTAACCTTTAAACACATGTAGTTTGCACATAAATTGTTACTATAACCAATGAATGAGAGAATGGGAATGCATTTTGGAAGCTACTAGTTTTTACTCTAGATAATGTAGTATGGTATTTCAAATCATATTGAAAATTTGATTAATATATATTTGGGGAATCTTCTTTCTCCAAACACCTTAATTTAGATAGAATTATGTGAAGATATTCCTAAAGCAAATAAGAACTGAATATTCAAATGTATCTAAAGTCTGCAAGAAAAAAAGCATGAAGCAGTTTTATTATAAAAAGTACCATTTCTGAATCATTCTATTTTAGCCTTTCAATCCAAACAGGTATGTTGATTTGTTCTGTTGGAGATAATTCCCATTCCCATGTTTGAGACCACTTTTCAGATTTTGGATAATATAGATCAACACAAACATATTTGGACTGGATTAGAGTTTATTTAGAGTATCTTTCTCACTGGGCTTTTGTAAAGAGTTTAGAGTAATTAAGTTTTTGGAACTTATTCTGTTACTAGCAGAATTTGTATACCCTCCTTGTCCCTGGCATTTTATTAGAAATCTTTAGGAGTTTGGAATCTTTAGACTTTGGGAATAGTTGTGTGCAGCAACCACCCCACCCTCCAGTGTTTTCAGGAAATGCAGAATCTATATTCATTTTTACCACTAAAAAATGGGAAAACTTAAAAGTTTAACCTCCTGGTCTTGAGTTCCTTTTTAAGCTGCAGTTTTTCATTTATAGACCCTTTCTTGAGAGGGAAGCCCTGCAGAAAATGATATAAAATGATGATTTTGTCAGTTTTCCCAAGGATG